AGCAATTCTTTTCCAGGCAGGATTCTCAAGCATTCTTTTTAGCAAGTTTTGTTTAACACTTCCAGTTTTCCTTGCCTGCTTGTAAAATAACTCCTAACACTGCTAAATACTTGAGATTGTAAGTCAAGGAACACCAGGATGCATACCAGATTACAGTATTCTTCAATTAAGAGTATGAGGTTAAATAAAAAACATCTAGAAGTTCTTCTGCCTTCCTTACCTGAATATGGCCTTTTGCATCTTAAGAGTTTGACAAAATTATATAAAATGATAGGAACACAAAGAGCCATTCTAGAAGAATTGAGACTACTTTAATAAATTTATTTATTTGGATAATTTTTATAGCTGACACTCGTGCTCAGTGACTCTGGACTGCTTACAAAAATATGACTGCTGTTTTTAGGCCTTTTCAGTAGATCCTTTTGCCCTAACAAATATTTAAATTTCAGTTCCAGAAATAGCTTATTCGGTATGTAGGCCAGCTATTAGAAGCATAAGCAAAAGTTCTTCAAATATGCAATACAGTGTCTTAGATCATGTGTCTTAATTCATAGCTGGTTGTTTAGGTTGTGAATTGTAGGAGTGATATTCACAGTTCGGGAGTGTACTGGTTTAGGGAGTGCTACATCTAAAGTGGTGCGCCAAATAGTATGGCTAAATAAATACACTTTGGTTTTTATGCATGAAAGTTCTCAACCATCTGAGTTTATGATTGATGAATATTAGATTAATATGCCTTGAAGAGTAATAACCATCCTGTCTTTACTTTGTATTTAAAAAAAAAATCCAAATAAATATATGCTGTTCCAAGAATTTTGTACCTATGTTCTGGAGCAATTCCATGTTCTTTACTAAGTGGAGGAAAAGTAATACAGGTAGTCCTTGACTTACAACCTTTCCTTTAATAACTGTTCAAAGTTACAACGGCAGTGAAAAAAGTGGGCTTAGGACTGTTTTTCACACTTATGACCATTGCAACATTCCCATGGTCACGTGATCAGAATTCGGACGCTTAGCAACTGGCATGTATTTGTGAAGGTTGCAGAGTCACATGATCACCTTTTGCGACCTTCTGACAAGCGAAGTCAATGGGGAAGCCAGATTTGTTTAACAACCGCGTAACCAACTTACAACTTCAGTGACTCACTTAACACCTGTGGCAAAAAAAGGCTGTAAAATGGGACAAATCTTGCTTAGGAACAAAAATTTTGGGTTCTATTGGGGTCGTAAGCTGTATATTTACTTGCACTGGAAAACCTGTGCCTGTAAATGTTTAAATGCTGATCATTCTTTTTCTCATTTTCCCCTTCAGACTGCTAACAGTATTGTATCTATTGTTTTTGGCGTGCAAAAAATTTCATGGGCTCATGTTAACAGAGATTTGGTTGTGCAGAACTGGCATTTGGAAAACTACAGACATAAGGAAGAAACATTCACACCAGCGGTGTACCTGGAGACAGTAAGCCACCTTATCTTGCCTTGGTGGGATGCTCTTTTTCATTCTTGAAGTGTTGCCTTTTTACAGCAGCTGGGAGGTCTGTATGTCACACATGCAAACTCATGATTTGCCATAGCCACCCACCAGTCTTATGGAATTGGCTTCCTATAGATAAACAGTATCATGTATGAAGGACTTTTGTGAAGCCCTATATTGCAACGTTAAGTTTGCTACCTTGCGCAGGGTATGCTGGAAAGATTCTAACAATGGAGAAGAGTCTGGAAACATGATTGAAAACTGCAGGATGTATTGGGGGATAAGCACTCCCATGTTTGTGCAGGATGAAACTAGAAAAGGTGGCTCCCTTGCTGTCTCATTTTACAAGGGAGATGAGTAATCCATTGAGTGCAAAAGGGGAATTAGCACTGCACATCTCACCTTGCACAGATCAGCCTCAGGCACCATTGGTTTTCAAGCATTGGGGAATACAGTGCAGCCAAGGCCGACTTGGTGGGTAGGCATTCCAGCTCAAGCCCTTGGTAGCATGGCCCTCAATTGAGAACAGAACAGGCAAGTGGAATAGGTCGCTGGAGTTAATTTATTGTATTATGTGGCAGGATGGGAAAGAGGCTGTTAGTTTTGTTGGATTTATGTTGCTTCTGAAATGGTTTTAGTTCAGGCTGTCTCTGTTTTATTTTTTTATGGATTTTTTAAAATGTTGCACTCGGAATTTATTGCAGTTGGGCAGCTATAACAAATGTTAAATAGATAAGACAGGCAAACAAAGCTTTAGTTGAGACCCTGGGAGCTTCCTAGCTAGCAAATAACTTTTGGAGTAGACAGCCTCTTGCCCCGAGGGAAGTTTTGGGCTGTAGTTTATAAGTTCATAGTTATCCAACCTCTTGGCATGCCTGGGCCATATTGAGTGAAGAGGAAATGTTTATAATGCATATAAACAACAAACTGTATTATATTATTATCTTGTGGGGGCCACATTACTAGCTGCCCAGGGCTACACGTGGCCCATGTGCAGGGGCTTGATATGCCTGATATAGATAAAAAAGTTTCATGGTTATGATTGAGAGGTGCAGGGAAAGATTTTTGCTTTCAAACTCAGTGACTCAAACCATGATGTTTCAGCACTCAGCAACCGCAACTGAGCCCAGAATATGCATTGTTAAGCAAGGTGGTTGTGGAATTATCCCTAATTTTACAACTTTTTGCCATGGTTGTTAAATGAATCCCTGCAGTTGTTAAGTGAATTGTGGTTTTTAAGCAAATCTGGCTTTCTCACTGACTTTGCTTGTGAAAGCAAGCTGGGAAGGCCGGAAATGCTGATCGCATGACCCAGAGATACTCCAACAGTCATAACGACACGCTGGATGCCAAGCGCCCAAATGTTGATCATGTGACCATGGGGTGGGTGGGGATGCTGTGACGATTATAAGTGCAAGGACTGGTCATAGATCCTTGCACTTAGAACTATCCCAGCATCATGCCCTTTTTTCAGTGCTGTTATAACTTTGGTCACTAAACAAGGTTGTAAGTTGAGGATTAGTATCTGTACTATGACATATTTTCTTTGGAAAAAAATCAAGAAGAAACCTGTAAAAGGGAAAAATCAAGAGATTCATAAGGCTAAAAAAATTGTTACATTTATAAAAATTTTGCTTTACGAAGGAAATTCAAGAGCAAAACCAATAAAATAAATTGGTAAAGAAGTCTAAAGGCCAGTTTTCTGGAAGGACTGTCCTGCATAATAAAGTTACTTAGCTATACTTCATCCCTTGATTTCAATGTAAACACTAATAAAATAGAAAAATAAGGAGTAATCCTCAATTTACAACCATTCATTGATCAATCGAGATTAAAATGGCACTGAAGTCACTTATAGCTATTAGTGTATCCCCATGGTCATGTGATCAAAATGCAGATGCTTGGCAACTGGCATGGATTAATGGTGGTCACTTAGTCATGTGATCACCTTTTGCAACTCTGACAAGCAGTCAGTGGGGAAGCCAGATTCATTTAATAATTGCTACTAACTTAATTGCAATGATTCACTTAACAACTGTGGCAAGAAAGGTTGGAAAATGGAGCAAAACTCACTGAACAATTGTCTTGCTTAGCACCAAAAAATTTGGCCTCCACTGTGGTCATATAACAAGGACTACCTGTGGTTGTAATAATTCCAAGGAATGTATTATGCATGACTATTTTGCCAGTTTTTTTCCTCCCTCTATCACCCACCTTTGTTCCAGAGCAGTAGTCCCCAACCTTTCTGGCTCTGCGGACCAGCAGTGATGATGGCAGGAGAGAAGGGATGGTTTTGCATGCACACCTGCTGCTTGCGCACAAAGAGCTTCATGCGCTTCCACGCTTAGTCACTTGCGGGCTGCTTGCACAGCCCGGTACCGACTTGAGGGTTGGGAAGCCCTATACCATACCTTTTTGCAGGGACATGCACAAAAATAGCCAGCTAGCAAGAATCTGCCAGATTTGTAGCCCACTTTTGACTAGAATATCTTCATCTAGATATCTATGGAGATTCTCAAATCATCCAGGTCATGGTTGTCCCAAAGCTGCTTTTTTCAAAAGGCAACTGGACTTTCTGGTTTTTCTTGCATGAGAAGCTTCTTCTCAGAGCTGAAGAAGCTTCCTGGATGAGAAGTGAAATGCCTCGAAAGAAAAACCAAAAAGTCCAATGGCCTCTTGAAAAAGCACCTTTGGGATTCCCATCTAGAGGAAGTTTTTGATGGACCCAGTCCATTCTGTACCAAGTTAAATCATGAGTTTGTATACTTACTCATTCAAAACTGCTTTTAAGGTATGGTTCAAAATAATTTCACCGTAGTATATACATTTCTAATAGATACACAGATGTTAACCAGTGCATGCTTTAGGATTTGTGTTGCTGTATTTGTTTGGTAAAACTGACTTATACTTGTTTGTTTCAGGTATCTACTATAATATCCAAGATTCCTGAAGCAGACTTTTATGTTTTGGAAAAAATTGGACTTCCTCCCACAAATGCTGCCTTGTTTCCAGTAACGTTGCATCTTCGTATAATGGAAGCTGTACTTTATGCGTTATTGCAAAAAAGTTTTGGAAAGGATGGACAACCCCAAGTGTTGAGCATCGCCCGGAATGCTGTAGGCAGATATTTTGGGTTGATGTTGGGAGAGTCACGAATTAGTGGAATGGACCTTGTAAAACAGTTTCTGTTGGACTCTGCTAAACAAACAACCCGTGTGAGCTTTGCAAACAACGTAGTTGCCAGGCATATGCATATCGTGTCAGGTAATTCATGGAAAAGAGAGGAGGAACTATGTGATTCATTATTGCAGGCAATTGCTTTTTATGAGCTTCTGGTATTTGACACTGGTGAAATGTCTTAAGAATTAAATAAATTCATGATTGTACGACTTCTGGATTGTACAATAGCTCTGTGACATTTGATGTAACATTAAGCTGAAATAACCTTCAGGTGTTAAGTGTCAAAATTATTTCCTGTTCTCAGCTTATCGTAACCCTCCCTAATTGTAGATAACAGTTGAACAAATTAAAAATGAAAGAATTATATAATTAACATGTTTTGGATCAGTGACAAGTAACTTATCAAATAAGCAACTTATCAAATGTTTCAAAGCCATATTGTATGTCTGGTAGAATATGCTAATCAAGAGGGCTTTTTTAAAAAAACATAAGAATGGTTTTAACGATTATTTTTCCACTTGGCCAATTGACATGCAACAGACTTCAGGAGTTACCAAGGATGGAAATACTTTCTTTTATTCTAATCCAAACAATCTGCATTATTAGGATTAAAAGTAGTACAAGGAACATGGAAATTATCTAGGGAGAAATGAGTAGGGGAACCCAAAATTTGCATTTTTACCTCACAAAATTACCGTATAAAAAGTTACGCCCTTCCTTCCAGATATTTTACTTTATTGCAGGGATAGAAACTTTTAAAAAACAAGTGTTGGTACAATAATAAAATAGTATAAAAGGATGTACAGAAATGCAGACAAACAGCTGCAAAGAGTTGTTAATGTAAGAAAGGGATTTACAAAATTCACTGTTTTCCCTCACAGACTTCGCCTGCTAGGGACCAATGTACAGGTCTGCACATTTGCAGATGCATGCAACACACCAACCACTTCAATCTAAAGCAGGGTAATTGCTGAGTGTCACCTGTTAACATTTGGTTAATCTGGATTTATTGTTAGATCAATTCAAAGAGGTGCTTTTTTAAAGCTTATCACTGCATCAACTGATTGACTTGAAAAAGATGTGGCTTTCTGGCATTAAGATGTTTATTAACATCAGAAAGCCACATCTTTTTCAAGTCAATCACCTGATGTATTGATAAGCTTTGAGCTGTTTTTTAAAGCATCTGAATTGATCTATTGTTGTACAAATTAAAAGCTGACCGGGAATGTGGAAAGTAACTAGTTGGTATATCTGCATCCTTCATAAATAAAGATTAAAAATATAATAGTCTTTTGAATATACATTTCTATTTACAATGTTATTCTTGGCCACTGTTTTAAGGAAAGTCAGTTGCCAGGCTGTTCAAAATTTCTTTGGGAAGATGAATCCCTTCCAGATAGTGGAGAAACCTGTTTGGGGGGAGGAAAATAGTAGTTTAGATTCAGTATCGATGAAAACATCTTGATCATTTTAACCAGATTACTTTATAATTTTGTCTTTTGTCTGTAACTCAGATACATGCATAGATTGTATTCCAACACACCAGAAAGTAAATCCTTTTGAATTCAATGAGATTTACTTCTATAGATAACTTACCTCCTTTTTGTCTTCCCCTGTTCTTTCTGTTTCTCTGATTTACAAATGTTGCGAAGAATTGGCAGATATTCCATTACACTGGCTTTTTTGCTATTAAGACTTAAAGGTGTACTGGAAAACACAGTTTTAATTAATTCTATCCTCTTCTGTGCATTATAGTGAATGCTGTAAAAGAAAAGTACATAATATATTTTCTATCACAGTTATATTTTTAGAGGTGAATATCTGCAGCAGATTGCTTCTGCTTAGTTTCCTAATCTTTTTCTTGTATTCTATAAGAAAGCTGGAATATCCTTTTCAAAAAATGAAAATCTGAGGAATCGTGTAATAAGCAGAGATTAAGATTCTATATTAAAAATAAAAGACATACAATTGAATTAACATTAAATCTTCCATGGTCATTTTACTACTTCTAAACCCATTAGATGAGACGTAGTATAAAGAGAAGCAGCTTGGATAAGTGTAAAATTTTTCTCCGGTATTAAACAAGTTTATTTCTAAAATAATTTTGTTGATAAAACTGTTCTCTTCCATCTTAGAAATTAATGTGACAACTTGACAGTCTCTGCTTTTGTCTTCAGTTTCAAAGTCAACAGGAGAAATTAATATCCAGGCCTTTATCAAAATATTATAAGCTCTTTGTTCTCTTTAGGGCTTCTGCTTTACATACCAAGGACACTCTTTTTCCCATTTCATACTGTAAAAACCTAAGAAAAAGTTTTTACCTGGAATTAGCTGCTGACCGGCCGAAGTATAAATCAGCTTGTTCTTTTGAAACATGGGGAGAGAGTTCTTCAAATTCATTCTTCTGGAGAGTTTTATTACAGTTCAAGCAACTGTCCATGATTTTTGAAATACTCTTGGAGCATTTGTTAAAACTTAACGCCTCCATTGTTGCTTTTAGTTCGCTAGAGCTTTGAGAATTCCACCAGTCAGTGTACTCCACACTAAATTCATCAGAGAGACCATTTTTTATCTTCCCCTTGGTCCAAATAAAATCTCCATATTTACCGGCCTGCTTGGATGCTTGGGTGGGTTCAGTGAAATAACAATCCAAGAAAGACATATTGTCCAGGTATTCAGTTAAGGAATTTAAACACTGGGATACAAATACAGAATCTTTTGCGCTGACAGATGTCCCATCCTTCGGTACTCCTGTGCCAACCTTCATAGATTCCACTGTGCCTGTTTCTTCTAAGCTTGAAGTGCTTGTGTCAGGGGACAGTGTAACAAACCCGGAGTAATTTAATCCACGTTCAAATAAATCGCTATCGTCCAACACAGTCATTTTTTTCAGACATTTTGATCGTTTAGCCTTTTTCACAGGAGGGGCTTCCTCTAAGTAGTCAGTATCAATGCACATACTACTTGAAGCCTTTTCTGCAATAAAGCTACATGCAGGGCTGGCTATTTCAATTGCTTCTGGAATTATATTAAGAGGCAAAGATGATACAATTTCAAGGTTGCTGTAAGTAAAGTCTGTATTCCTCATCTGGAATTCTGTGAGCAGATGTATCAGTTTGTTCCAATCTTCTTTTGTTCTGATTTCACGCTGTTGAGAAATCATTAGAAATCATTATCATGAAGGAAAAAGAGATTTGGAGCCTACTTGATTGTAAAGGCTGTCTTTTAATCATGCCAGAAATAGTTAATTAAATAAGATACACGAAATCTATCGGAAAAAGACATCTGTGTTTTTTAAAAGTAATTTTCTAAATGTGGTTACTTAACTGTAGAATTAAGTTTCTTATAATTTCTGTCTTTTGAATTACCTTTTTATTCATACAGATAGCCATGGACTTACATCCATTCATTTAAACACCTTTGAAGTTAAAATGACTTACAACCAGTCCTCACATTTATGACTGTTGCAGTGTCCCAGGGTTGTGTGATTACTATTTGTGAGCTTCTTGCGGGGCTCCCACCAACAAAAGTCAACGGAGGGAGCCAGATTTGTTTGGTAACTGTTAAGTTCACTTAATGACTACAGCAAAAGGTTGTAAAATCAGGCGTGACTCAATGACCGTATCACTTAGCGATGGAAATCCCAGTCTTAATTGTGGTTGTTAACTCCAGGACTACCTGTACAAATGTTCTACTGCTACCTATTTCATCTACTTTGATCAGAACTAAATTCGGAAATCCAATGGTTTGAAAAAGGGCCATTGTTCTAGATTTGATTTAAGACTGTAAGCATTCATTGCACATAGTTTTTTACCTTCAAGTTTCTGCATGAGTATTTTGTTAAAGATATAATTTTTACTGAAGAAGTTATGTCATCCTCCACCGAGGCCTATAAATACATAAAATGCTGGTTTGGATTTATGACGTGGGGGGAGAGGGAAGAAAGCCAATGAATCAGAAAAGGACCCGTCTTTTACAAGCGGAGCCCGGACTCAAACCACTCTCCCCGGTAAGCGGAAGGAGCTTATTGGCAGACCAGCAATAGAACAAGCATTCCTCATCTCACAACGATCATTTCATTTGGTGACCGTTTAAAGTTACAACAGCGCTGAAAAAAGTGACTTATGACCATTTTTCACACTTAATAACCATTGCAGGATCTCCATGGTCACGTAACTGAAATTCAGACCCTTGGCAATTGACTCACATTTATAACGGTTATTTATGACGGTTGCAGTGTCCCGGGGTCATGTGATCCCCTTTTGCGACCTTCTGACAAGCAAAGTCAAGACACAAGCCAGATTCACTTAAGAATTGTTTTATTAACTTAACAACTGCAGTGACTCACTTAACAATGGTGGCAAGAAAGTTTGTAAGATGGGGCAAAAAATCAACGACTGTCCTTTGCAATGGAAATTTTGGGTTCAACTGTAGTCGTCAGTTGAGGACTACTTGTAATAAAGCCTGAGTGGATATATAGCACTGTTCTTTTAACCTAAGTCCAGTGAGGCTCTCTTGTTCACTGACCATGCAATACAGCCAAGGAAAAACAAATCCAAGGACAAGGGAGAGAGATCAAATGGATGGGCCTAGCAAGATCCATGTTGCAACATTTGGTTGAAGGTTCATTTCTTGTTAAACAATTTAGTAAACGTACCTTAAGAAATGAGAACAAATCTTCTGAAGGCAAAAATATGTTCTTAAGTCCAAGCAGATTCTCAGTGCAGCCAGTATTACATTTTGGAATATTCTCAAGAATAGGTTGCTTTGAATTTGAGCTAGTTGATTCTTTGATGGAAGCGTTCGGTTTTATGCCATTGATCTCTGTCCAGTTCCCTGTAGAAAAGAGTTTTGTACCTCAATATTGAGCGAAGCAAAAGGCCATCAATTTACTTCAAATTCCAGTCAGACTGATATATCAGACCTCACTTAACTATGGCATCGTAAGTATATCAGAGCTAAATAAAAGATGTGCCGTTCTCTAGTCAGAAAGTGAATCTCCTCCCAGTTTTGACCTCCTGATTTTGGAAAACTTTCTGGGGACAGATCCTAAAGGAATTGTTTCAAAGTAATTGGAGGGGATTGGATGGTTTGCAGGCTTTGGGGGATGCCTAACAAAGTTCTATCTCTACTACCAAATTACTACTAGATCTGTAACCACATAGTCAGGTACAACCAACTCACACAAGGAATAATCTGGCCCTCAGATTCAGTGTAGTTTAGTTTACTTGATTGTCATTGCACCTTGTACAATGAAATTAAATACCATCTTCAGTGTACATTATGACTATGAAAATAAACATAAACAAACATCCTTCACATTCTATACATTGAATTGAAAACCTCTGATTTTGCATTGCTGTCAATAACGTTGGCTAGAATTCTACCCTTCCACTTTGGTTATATATCAGTAATTCCATCCCATATTTACACTGTTACATTTCCGCAAACCTCATTCTATTCCCTGATCTTTGCTTTTTCTCTTTTCATAATCTATTTGGAGGCCAACACAGTAACTTGTGTCTTACATATAGTAATAGCACTTAAACGTGTATATCGCTTCACAGTGCTTTTACAGCCCTCTCTAAGCAATTTACCAAGTCAGCATATTGTCCCTAATAATCTGGGTCCTCATTTTACCAACCTCAGAACGATGGAAGGCTAAGGTCACCTTGAGCCTGGTGAGATTTGAACTGCTGGCTGTCAGCAGAATTAGCCTGCAATACTGCATTCTAACCACTGCGCCACCATAACTCCACTTTAAATTGGAATTTGATACTATAAACATGTTTAAATATAAAAGCCTAAACCAGGCACATCCATCCCATGGCCCATATGCGGCCCTGGACAGCTAGTACTGTGGCCCTCACAAGACCATAAACTTTCAACATTATTATGTGATTTATTTATATTAACTATAGTATATATTTCATATGCAGCCCAAGACAAGTTCTCTTCACTCAATTTGGCCCAGCCAAAGCAAAAGGTTTATTTAAGTTTCATTTAGTTTCAAATGAGTTGTAATTATGATAGACTGTCATACCTTTTTCTTTCAAGTAACCACCACCACTCTGGACCCAAAACTGCAAATATAGAATACTCTGCCTGATGTCACAGTTATTCACAGTTAACAAGGCAGCAAAGTCTCTGATATCGGTCCTTAAATTCTCGGCCAAACACAGAACTTGGAGATAGCTAGCCACATTTATCTAAGTACAAACGGATGAAAAGATTGACAATACTTGCCTTTAGTAAACATATCAAAGAATGTTCTATCGCAAGACTACAAATTATATTTATTTGCTAGTGTTGTTAAAAATAGGTAGTAAGCCAATTAGAAAGTGTGATGTTAGATGTTCGTTTCCAAAATTAACAATTTTGTTACAATATGCATTGTTTTTAAATCCTTATTATGCAATAGATAGCATATACTGTACATTACAGCTAAAAATTGGAACATTTAGGATGTAGAGTGCTGAACATTACAATGCAGATAAATAAAAACTACTGTGTTTTTTGCTCTGTAAGACGCACTCTCCCCCCAAAAAGTGGGTGGGAATGTCTCTGCGTCGGTGCCGGTCCTTTGGTGAACAGCAGCTGGGCTGCGGTGGGGTCCTTTTACAGTGCTGAACCCCACCTCTTCTGTCTTTGTCATTGCCCACCTCTTCTGTCTCTTTTCTGCAACTGGAGTCAATAGGCAGAGCTGGCACATGAAAGGACACCTATCTGTGGTCCTCTCAGACTACCCCTGATTTTTTTTTCTTGTTTTCCTCCTCTAAATTTAGGTGCGTCTTATGGTCAGGTGCGTCTTACAATGCAAAAAATATGGTAGTTTCATAGCACAAAAGCTGGTTTTATCTGGAAAACCAACCCAAAAAGACTTTTAAAGGAGTGGAGCATTAGGGTTCTTTGTTTTTTGCCTCGAAAGCCACACAAGTGACCAGTAAGTTGAGGGTCATCTATAAATATTTTCTGTAATATAGACATTAATCTATAATCTCTTTTGGCACATTAATTAAATTGCGTGGATAATATTTTCTGGGTAATGACATAAAATGGTTGCATTAAATTACAGTTTTACTTGGGACAGGTTCATTGTCCTAAGAAACTCTAATCAACATTTTTGGAATTCTAGAATTGAAAAACTTACCAAAGAAGGTACTCTGAAGGTGATTTGTTCAAAGCAGCCATCAAATGTTTCACTGAACAATGGATCTACACAAAAGGTTCATAATACAGACTTTTACCATTTCGTCATACGGAATTATTTTTGCTTTTATAAAACAGACAGAAAAATATTTCAAATATTAAAATACCTCTCTTTATACAATGGTTATGTAGAAATATTCAGCACGTTTGAGAGTACAGAACTTACTAGAAGTATTAGTTTGTATTGATATTATTATCAATCTAGGTTATTTCTTGGTTATAAAAAGTGCAAAAAGGTAACAAAATTCAACATCGGTTATTTCTATTGTAATAAGGATGCAGGCACCCAATAAATGGAAAAAGAGTAAGACTCACTGCCGTAACTGGTTAATAAGATAATAGCCATTTATCAGAAATGGCTATTGATTCTCCTGCTCAGTAGAGCAGGGGGTTGAACTAGATGACCTCCAAAGCCTCTTCCAACTCTGTTATTCTGTGTCATGTGAGCCATGATCTTGACTGGCTCAAGGTTGACTCAGCCTTCCATCCTTCCCAGGTTGGTAAAATGAGGACTCAGATTGTTGGGGGCAATGTGCTGACTGCTTAGAAAGGGATATAAAAGCACTGTGAAGTGGTATTGCTATCCTACGGTAAAATAGGATACATAGAAATCTTGGGCATATTTACCAGCATAAATATGTTTTCCATATACCATCTTTTCACTCAATTTTTCCTTACTTGGAAATACATACAAAAATAAAACACCCATCTTTACCCATCCTTATCTATCTGGCCATATGGAAACCCAGGTTCCCCCGTGGGCACAATAATAATTCTTCTCTCAATCACATCCACTTGAATACTCAGACCCCTTCCCGTCTCCATCCTTCACCAACAAACATAACACAGGTAGTCCTTGATTAATGACCACTCCTTAACCAACTGTTCAAAGTTACAACAGCACTGAACGAGTGGTACTTATGACCTTTGAGTTCCAGCTTTCCCAGCCTGCCCCCAGTGATGTAATCATGAGCTCAACACTTGGCAAACAGCTCGCCTTTATGATGGCTAAAGTGCCCTGCAGTCATATCACTATTTGTGACCTTCTCTGCTGACGTCCCATAAGCAAACTATCAGTGGGGAAGCTGCTATGGAAGGTTGCAAGTGGTTCCTGCCACTTTCTTGTACACCCTCCAAAAACCCACCCCATACCCAGCCATAGTATGTGTGCCCCTCAGCACTTTGTATCAGACTCCTCCAACCCACCCGCCAACCTGCTTGTGAGCCACCTGGAACAAAGTCCACATTTTGGGCAGAGGGGACCGTTGGTTTCAAAGAGGGGTCAAAGAGACCATCTATGTCAAAATTAAACACCCCTCTCTCTACAACAGTCCTTTCAACAGTTCCAAGAAAGCTCCATGCCTATTTGCACCACTCAGGTGACCCTGATGACACAGATAAACCTCCAGGTGATCTAAATGACCTGATAAAAGAATGCAAATGACCAGCTGTCTGCAAGGAGTATGAATCTTTCCATTCCCCACCATCCAGTCAGAGCTGAAGAAGCTTCTTGGATCGAAACCTCTTCAAAGAAAAATGAGAAAGCCCAGTTGCCTCCTGAAAAAGCACCTTTGGGACACCTGGAACTTCCAACCTCCTGCCAGGTTGCCCATTGACTTGAAAAACAGCAGGATGTCGCAAGGAGGCCCTTACTGAATTACCTGCAATCCCTGCTTAACGTTGGCAACACGGATTGCCATTACTAAGTGATGTGATGCCACACTTTATGACCTTGCTTAGTGACCCAAATCCCAGCCCCAATTAATGTCATTAAGCAACAGCTACATCAATATTCACAAGAAAAATAGCAAAAGCAATAAGACTTATATAGCGCTTCATAGTGCTTTTACAGTCCTCTCTCAGCAGTTTATAGAGTCAGCATATTGCCCCCCAACAATCTGGCTCCTCATTGTACTGACCTTGGAAAGAATGGAAGGCTAAGTCAATCTTGAGCTGGTCAGAATCAAACTCCTGGCTGTGAGCAGTGAGTTAGTTTACAACAGGGATGTCAAACTGGAGGCCCGTGGGCGGGATGCGTCACACACATGCCACACCCACCCCAGCTCCGCGAAGAGAAAAAAAATGTTGCAATACATCATGTTGACATCAACGTGATGCAGCGAGTTTGATACCCATGACCTATAATATTGAACGCTAACCACTGCATCACCAAGAAGGTCATAAAGTCCCCATTTTCTCCCCAAGGAAGAAGATTAAATTTTTTGCCCATTTTGCTAAAGAGATCAATAAAAATTGATTTACAGTACCATTTAGGGGACTCTACAAGAAAATTCATAGTATAGAGGAGGAAATCAGTTTGTTGAGAACATTAAAATGGATTATAAAATATTGAACAATCAATTTACTCTACAGCCGTGATGGTGAACCTATGGCATGCGTGCCGGAAGTGGCACGCAGAGCCATTACTGCTGGCATGTGAGCCCTCAACCCAGAGGTCTATTGCGCATGCACCGCCCGACAGGCGATTGTCGGATATCTGGCACGCATGCGTGGGGGGCAGGGATGCGCAGGAGACACATGGCGCGCATGGTGGAGGTTGCATGTGCATGCGTGGGGGGGCTACCCACATGCATTGCCTTCTGGGGGCTGGCACGCGAGCGCAGTTATTGGCACAGGAGCCCAAAAACCACTGCTCTACAGCAAACTGCTTATTTCCCTGACCTAGCCTTCAAGAACATTAAAATTTCTGTTTTGGCCCTGATTAAGTCTCCTAGAACTGTACCTAGTAATGCACTCTCAAAATTTTGTACTGTTCTTGAGGGAGAAATACTTGATAATCAATACCATATGGGGGGCTGCAGACCCTCAACGAAGAGGACAGGATGTTTGTCACTGGTTCTCACACATACCCTGTGAATACACTATTAGGGTCAACACAGGGATATATTCAGGGCAAATATCTGGTCTCCCTAAGTCTGCACTGACTTGTTGTTTTTGAAAACAGCACTAACAAACTATTACTCTGGACAACAAACAATATATTAGAAAATTAGATTTCATTTTGCAATTGCAATTACGTCACAGTGACAAGTCTTACTTCCAACAACTATTGAATTTTTCTTAGAACAAGTTATGTTGAGAAGATATTTGGTTGATTAATAATAAGGTTCACTTTGCTAGGATGAAGCTAGTGGAGTCCTAAATAAATAAGGGCAGTGAAATAATTCTTTAATTTTGAAGTTAATGTCCATAAAAACTATGGTGCCTAACCAGAAATTTGTTCTCCAAAGATTCCTTGGAGCCCAAACAAAGAAACTAAAAACAGATAGATGGGCAAAAGCTGCTAAGATCATCCAATCTGATGGGACTCTGGCACTCTTGTCCAAAATCTCAAAACATCTCATGTGGGAATCCCAAAACAAATGCTAGTTATTTTTTAAATTTAACTTTGGGATCCTGAAAACTGCTATGGGAGCAGGACAGGTTTATGCTCTGGCACCCACTGTCACCCACGACTGATTACTTATTACTTATTATTATTTATGCACTAGGCCTCAAAATTTATTGATGATGCTACAGAAGAAACTGTTGCCCAAAGGAATCATAATATTCTTTCAATGCACAAAACAGTAGCTAGGCAATTCATTTTTGGAACTGTCCTCTTGAAGTTAAAAGAGCTCAAACAATAATATTAATTAAATCTTATAAGAGTGCATTCAAAATGGTTATTTAATGTTAAGATTACAGCAGCCGGACAGCTGAGGAATTACAGAAATAACATTTGCCTACCATTGGTGGTTAGAATGACAGGTCTCTTGGTAGTGCTCATGAAGGTCTTTATTGCATTTAGAAATCCAGTATCTTCATCAAATATTATATCAACCTAGGAGAAGGGAAACATGTTTCTAATTGTTGTATACAGGTAATTCTCAACTTACAAGTTTATTAAGGCACCATTCAAAGTTACAACGGCACTGAAAAAATAGCAATAGCACTTAGACTTAAATACCGCTTCACGGTGCTTTACAGCCCTCTCTAAGCGGTTTACAGAGTCAGCATATTGCCCCCAACAATCTTGGTCCTCATTTTTACCAACTTCGACGGAAGGCTGAATCAACCTTGAACCTGGTGAGATTCGAACTGCCAAATTGCAGGATGCTGACGTAGCCTGCAGTATTGCATTTTAATTCCTGTGCCACTGTGGCTCAGTGACTTATGACCATTTTTCATACTTATGACCACTGTAGCATCCCCATGGTCATGTGATCAAAATTCAGATGCTTAGCAACTAACTCCTATTTATGACAGTTGCAGTGTCCTGAAGTCATGTGATCATCTTTTGTAACCTTGAGACAAACGTCAGTCGGGAAGCCAGATTCACTCAACAACCATTTTATTAACTTAGTAACTGCAGTGGTTCGCTTAACAACTGTAGCAAGAAAGGTAGTAAAATGGGCCAAAATTCACTTAACAAATGTCTCACTTAGTAACATAAATTTTGTGCTCAGTTGTAGTTGTAAGTCAAGGACTACGTGTATTATCTTAGTTTTATGCAAGATTTTATGGAGCTGGGTTGATTTGAAAAGTAGAAAGGTACCTACTCTAATTTGGGAGTAAACAAAATTTGTATTTACAATTAAATATAGGACCTGAAAAGTAAGTTAAATGCAGCAGTAAATCAAGCAGCGTATTATTTAGAATCACTAGGATTCTATTTCTTGGAAATAACAAAAGTTGAGTGGAATCTATATTCTGAATTAATAAGTATAAAAATTATATTAATCATTACATTAATAATTAACCTTGTAAGCCACCGCAAGTCACCATGTGAGAGTTGGGTGGCCATATATTTAGCAATTAATTAATTTTTAAAAATTGACTTTGTCCTTTTTCCTTCATTCCGGAGAGTCGCAAAGGGAATAGGATCTGCAGCTAATGTTACCTCTTCAAAAAGAATAAGAGAAGTTGCACATTTATTACTGGATTCTTCTTCCTTTTTTCTTCTTTTTCCTGATTTTAACTCTGGTTTGTTTTCGGCTAAGCTTTTCCTATTTTCTGTGTGAAGAAAAAGGTACAATCAGATTTGTATCAGAAAGTAAAAAAGTAATGCAATACTGGGATGTAAAATGTCCTCAAAATATTATTAAAATTATGGCTCCCCTGCTTCTAAAGCTTAATTTTACAATGACACATAATACAATTGTGGTTCGTTAGATTAGCTGGAAATAAAAGATAGGTACTCCTTGACTTACAACAGTTCGTTTAGTGACTGTTCAGTTACAACAACTCTGAGAAGTGACTTAGAACCATTTTTCACACTTATGACCATTGATGCATCTCCATGGTTACGTGATCAAAATTCAGCCACGGCCATTGACTCATAATTACGACATTTGCAGTGTCCTGGGATCATGTGATCCCCTTTTGCAAACTTCTGACAAACGAAGTCAATGGTTAACATTCACTTAACAACCAAGTTACTAACTTAACCACTGCACTTAACACCTGTGGCAAGAAAGGTGGTAAAATGGGGCAAAACTCACTTATAATGTGTTTCATTTAGCAACAGGAATTTTGGGCTCAACTATACACTGAGAACTACCTATACAGAAACTAACAACATATAGCAGCTGAAGAAAACAAATTGCACCTCATTTAGGCCAACAGCAGGAAATGTAACTCATATAAGGCAAGACAAACATTTATTCATTTAATTAGTTTCAGGGGCAGGCTGACTCCAGCCTGACTCTGAGCAGCTAACAGCAGTACCAAAAAAGATCTATGCATTCAGACAGCTATCAGCATTCTACAAGTATACTATCCCAAAGATAATAAATTACAGAACACTATGTGGACTTGATCAAATAGATATCTGGGGAGTATTGGTCCAGAAGACAGGGACTGTGACAGAGAGAGCCTACTTCCTGGGTCCCTTTAAATGGAATTGTTCAATCAAAGAGAGGAGGCAGACATGGCAGTATGCAATCTTGCACGGACATTGGCATTGAGTTTAAAAAAAAAAAAAGCTTGCAATTTCACCTGAGATATGAAGGCTACCAGATCTTGCAAGATTTTGGCACTTTCACTGAGATCTTGATGTATCAGGTGAGAGTACTGAAATCACCTAATATTATAGTAGAGATGTCAGGAATTTTCTGTTGCCAACTTAAGAGAAGTATAACAGTTTCTTGGCTGATTTTTAAGTGCAGCCCACTACACAGCAAATTATACGCAACATCTACATGGCTTCAAATACAGGTTTTGATTCTGTTTTTAAAAAAAAGCGGGGGGGAAAGGACAAAGAGCTCATATTTCCCTCATTCCCAAAGATCACATGCTACAAGTTCTCGACCTCTATAGCAGCTAACAGATCACTCATTGTACCTAATTGCACCATGGATTCAATTTTTACAAGACAAATTAGCACTCTCAGTACTTATGGTAAAGTTTACCTTTATTGCTGCTTGGTACTTTTTCTTCTTGGTTCTTCAGTTTGGAAGTTAATTTAAAATAATTGTCTAGGGTTTGGGGCATTAAGCCTTGTTTTAATCCAACTTTTCTGGGTGAAACTGAAAACTTCCTTGGGGACCATTCTTTTCTGGGAGATTGTTTCTCTATAATAGCAAATTTAAACATAAACTTACAACAGGAAAACATTAGCTTTTATATTACAAACAGAACTCTTTTCCTTAATATAAATCTGCTATTTCCAAAGGAATTTATCTCAAAACTAGTCTGCATTTGACCTTTGGGAAACATGCTGAGGGCCACATCCTAAAAGGTACTTGGGGCTAAGCTGAATTAGTTTTAATTATTGTTAAAATGAAATGTAGCTCAGGGATTGTGTTGTTAGGTGTTTTGTGTGGGGAGGAGAAGAAGGGAAGTTGTGCTTTCGAGTCAGGGTTGATTCCTGGCAACTGCACAAATTCCTGCGGTTTTTTTTGGCAAGATTTTTAGAAGTATTTTGCCAGTGCCGCCTTCTTCCTAGGGCTAAGAGTCATTCAACTGATTCCATCATTAAAGCAGGACTAGAACTCGGAGTCTCCTGGTTTCTAATCGACACTAGTGCCTGTAACCATGACACCAAATTGGCTCTCTACTCAGTTTAATTATATTTAACATGACTCTCCATGTGTTGATAGCAGAGCCAGTTTGGTCTAAGGCATCAGGCTAGAAACCAGATCTTTTTTTTTTTTAAATAAAATTTTATTTGGGTTTTCATACATACAAAATACAAGTAAAACATCTTTTTTGAAAATAGCATGGTCCCGGGTTGAACTTCTTTATACAGACACAAAACTCAATTTCATGCTCCTTTTTGTGTTCTATTCCATATCTTATATTATTCTACATTTTCTATATAGTTTTCCCCTCTTTTAATTTTCTCAATTTTATTTTGATTATCTCATCTCAATTCAAATCATTATATTTATACTTTTGTCTGTTCTGTTTCAATTTCATATTATCTTTTCTCATTAGACAAATTTTCTCCTGTAGTTACTAATTGGAGTATGACACCTTTATATCTTTTAATTACATCCATTCAACTCTTAAACTTCAATATATACCTTAAGGTTATGACCTTCAATATAATACATAACTTCCAATCGAATTCTGCTTGGTACATTCTTATAATACACACTATATTCTTAAAAAAAAAAGATTATAAATATATGTAATTATAAACCCCCATTCCATTCCAATTCAGTTCTATCATTAATAATCATTAAAATCTTAACATCTTTAACACTTTTCAATTAAATATCATACTTCCTTAAAGACACATATAATCTCCATAATTAATTTTTCCCTTATTTCTCTTCACATATGTTTTGTAAATCATTAAATATTCATTTTGTTACATTTATTTATTGACAAGCATTCCACTGAATTACGATAGCTATTTTATCAAACATTTTAATCATACATTGTTTCATATTTTCTAAAATTATTTTTGTTTCTAATATAACAATACTATCTTATGTACCTTTGCAGAATCCCTTTTTCCATTAAATTTTCACCCATTATCTCTAAATAGACCCTGTTTCTCTATATTTTGTTTCTGTCCTTTATAACTTCTTTTCCTTTCTTTCTTCCCTCTCATCTTCTCCCTCCCCCTTTTACCCACTTGTCTCCCTACTTCTAATTCTCTCTTCTGCATTTCCCTCTTCTGTTGCTTTCTGATTTTATACTTATTTTTCACTCTATTTTTTTTTGGAGTTCTTTTTCCCAATCTTAAACTTTCCATTCTCTTTCCCCCCTTTCCTTTTTTCCCCCCACCTAAGATTACTTGTTCATTAAAGATGGCTTCTTCTTTGTCGCAATCTTCTTGTTCTGCAGGCATTTCTTGTTGTTTCTCATAATTCCAAATCTCCATTTCTAAAAACTGAACTACGAACCCAAAAGAACCTCTCCCTTCTTGTGCATCTTCTTTGTACTTTTTAAGTTCCAATTTCAGTTCTTCTAAAAGTGGAGCCATTTTAAACAGTTTTAAACAACCACCCGATTGATTTTAGTCATTCAATACAATAACCAAAATCCAGAAATCATCAAGTAATCCAAATAATCCCAAGTTATTTTTTCTTATTTCTTTTTCCACTTTCTCTTCCTGGGTTTTTTGTTGCGATATTTCAGTTAAAATGTATCTTTTGGAAGTCTTGTTGAGATTTTGCTGTAAGTTCTTTTTAATTCCAGGCAGTCTCCTCCCTTCCAGATCCTGCCCTTTTATTCTTTTTCTCTCCTTTCCTGTTTTCAAAAGCTTTTGATTATCCAGAAATCTTTATTATCCCTTTGACTTTTTATTTTCAGCATTAAATGCCTATTAATGTCAAAGTGGATTTTTTTCCAATTTCTTGCTTAAGTCTCTTAGCTGTCAGTATAGGAAAAGGAGAGAAAAAACCAAATCTTTTCCCTTTTCTCTCCTTCGCAGCTTACAAATCTTCTTAGGGAACAATGTTATTGGTTTTTTAATAGTTTCAATTCCAGGGTACCTTATTTGTTGCTTTTGCTGTTTGACCCGGTCAACCAAAACTTTCTCTTCTTATCTTCCTCCTGCACATTCTTTTCCGGTCGAGTTCTTCTTTGTGGTGGCCATTTCTGACCACCGCTACAACCGCCTTCGGGAAAGGGAGTAATGGCCAGCTGGGGAGGAGAGCTGCGGCTCTCCTCAACCCTGCAGGCAGTCTCCCCCTTCTTCACCACCTCTACGGGGTGGCTTAGCCCCGAAACCAGCCGGCTTGGGGCGCTCCAGCGGCGAGCATGGATCGAAGCCTCGCAGAGACGAGGTTTCGGTCTGTCGCCGAAGAAGCTCAAACCGGAAGTCCAGGCTAGAAAACAGATCTTGAGTCCTAGTCCTGCCTTAGTCATTAAAGCCAGGTGGGTGATTTTGAGGAGGTCCCTCTTTCTCACTTCACCGCACAGGATTGTTGTTGTGGGGATAAGAGGAGGAGGAGGAGGAGGAAGGGGTATTAGGTATGTTCAATGCCTTGAGTAATTTATCAAAAAAATAATAAGAAATTCTCTATCCTTCTCTGCCATTAACTTAAAATACCAAATGGCTAAATCAGTATTTTTCAATCCTGGCAACTTTATGTGGACTTCAATTTTCAGAATTCTTGGAGTCGAAGTCCATGCCTCTTAAAGTTGTTAAGGCTGAGAAACACTGAGCTAAGTGACGTTGGGAAAGATATTTTATAATCCCTGTCAGCGATATTACTGCTACTATAGACAAAATATTGATCAAGCCCAAGCAAGTAAAGGAAACACCCTTACTATTAGCCATAAAGTGCTGATAGATTATGATTACAAGGAAAGTTCAGGCTAGATGCTGATAGACAACAGAGATAAATGGTAATTGATCAGGTAAAACTGAAATTATCCCTCTGTAAAAATACAGCTAATAATAAAGTTATTTTATGTCAAATAACAATATTAATTGCGCTATCCTTTCTTTTTAATGCCTGCAAAAAAGGAAGAAGAAGGAATATCTTACTTGGAGACTTAGTGCTGCTGTAATGGTTAAAGAAGCATGGCTTATGAGCTTGTACCCCTTGTTTGTTCACTTGGTGAGACTGCGTAGCTTCTTTTAATTGTGAGAGAATCTGCCTTCCACTGCGTTGGCAAGAAGCATTTACTTCAAATATCTGCAAGGTAATGGTAAAGAACAGGTGAGTTCATAACCCAATGACTTCGTCTCCCCTCTCTTTGCCACTATAGCACGAACCTTGAAGCCAAGCTCCTGTGCACAAGCGTAGACAGCTGCTGTCTTCCCTATCCCTGGGGGTCCAACGAGCAACATGGTGTTGCACAAAACATTCTCTTCATCGCTGACAGATGTGTCGTCTACAAAGTCCAAATGCTCCGAGGAATCTGTTGAGTTACAGAACGGCACAGATAATAAAATCAGCCTAGAGCGTGTAAACCTAGACCAATTTTTAAAAAATTCTTGCATTCATTAGCCATATTCATTTCAAAATGTATGTCCTGGCTTTCCATGAGAAAAACAAAAGGTAGGAGGAAAAAGCACCACAGATCAAATTAAGCATTAATATTTAACACAAAACGTGTACCACTACTAGGCTCTTGATATAGCTCACATTATAGTAAGCGTGATACATTTTATTTCAAAGAATGGAGAAAGATTCCAATATACCATCTTTGCTGCCGTTTTTCTTTTCTTTTTGTGTTCTGTTTTCTTCCCAACTGGCTTTTCTTTTCCATTCGCACAGCCATCTAATAAAGAGAAGGCTACATTACCACCAGCAGCAATACAGGTAGTCCTCGACTTATGACAGTTCGTTTAGTGACTGTTCGAAGTTACAACGGCCCCGAAAAAGTGACTTATGACCCTTTTTCACACTTATGACCATTGTAGCCTCCCCATGGCCACGTGATCAAAATTCAGACACTTTGGGCAGCTGACTCATATTGATGATGTTTGCAGCGTCCCGGAGACATGGGAGCCCTTTTTGTGAACTTCTGACAAGCAAAGTCAACGGGGAAATCAGATTCATTTAACAACCGTGTTATTAATTTAACAACTGCAGCAATTCACTTAACAAATGTAGCAAGAAAAGTCTTAAAATGGGGCAAAATTCATTTAACAATTTTTTTCACTAAGCAACATAAATTTTGGGCTCAATTGTGGTCATAAGTTGAGGACAACCTGTACATTCATGTGTCAAACCCTCCATGTTTCTAAAAGAGTGTATGGATGTATGTATATTGCTAAGACAGATACTGATAAGTAAATTATGCAATGAGAGAACCAGATATAACCGTGAGGGCGAACCTAGGGCAAGTATGCCACAGGTGGCACACATAAGCCATTTGTGCTGGCATGTGAGCTGCAGGAAAATTTACCTCACTGCGCATGCGCGCGCCTCACAGCTGATTTTCGGCTGGTTTGAGGCCTTTTTCGGCCTCCCAGAGGATTGAAAAAGCCTCTGCAGGCCGAATAATAGGCCCGTTTCATCACTTCCAATAAGTGATGAAATGGTCCTATTATTCGGCCTGCAAAGTCTGCAGAGGCTTTTTTCAAGCCTCTGGGAGGCCGAAAACGGCCTCAAACCGGCCGAAATTCAGCTGTGAGGCACAGTGCAGGTAAGGGGGCAGCGTGTGGCGGGGGATTGTGCACGCATGTGCAGGGGTGTAGTGGGGTGCATTGCCTTCTGGGTGCTGGCACCCAAGTGCACATGTGCCAGCGCATGCACAATTTTTGGCACAGGAGCCCAAAAAGGTTAGCCACCACTGAGACATAACAACAATTGAAATTGTTTGGGGGAATATCCTCCAGGCAAGAGGAGAAAGAACCATAGCCAGGACAATGCTCTGAATAGCAACCTCTGTCACCAGAAGGAATGGAATAGTGGGAGTCCCTCTCAAGAGGGACCCTCCCTGAAAAGGAAAAGCAAGTGGGGAGAGATGGGCTCTCAGACTTGCAAGAGTTTGTTATGGCAAACAGAAAGTAAAAGTAGTGGTAATACTCAATGTTAGGGATAACATTGTTTACCCTAACTGGTTTGGGTAAAAATAATAAATAAGGTATCATGGTTTGTTAGTTAAAATGTGTGTAACTTTAACAGCAGGAATGTAATTAAGGGTGTGGTTGTAAAAGCACTATATAAGAAGCGAGGCAATTGCAGCTCGCTCTCTCTGGCTTGAAGATCCCTAATTACTGGATGGATTGATGACTGCGTTCTTGCTGGAACGGGGAGAGAAAAAGGAGTGTTGATTTTTCTCAACGGAGAGAAGATAAAGATTGGACTGATTTATTGTAAGTTAACTGACATTGGCTATTCAACACGGACTTTGCAAATAGAGTATCCCCGACAAGACTTGACTGAAATTGATATATGACTAATGGACCGTTTATTTTGACTATGCTATAATTCTTAAATGGAATAAACTATATTTTTGATAGCACAAGCGTATCTGTATTTTTACTGCGTGTTAACTAAAAAACTTATCTCACACATTTACCTGTCTTCCTATCTGACTTCGCTGCACGTTCTGTTTAGTTTGTTTTCCTTAACACCCGTTGGGGAATCCAGGCTTAACACTCATAGTATTGGTTTCTTGTCTGGACCACCTCAAAGGGATAACAATCATTTATATATATATATTTAAAAAAGTTATTTCTGACCTATGTAGCTTTTTAATTGCTTCGATGTTGCCTATAAGTTCACTGGAGTTTTGTGGCTGGTATTTTTCGGTCCAAAGCATATCTCCACTTGCAAAATCTGTAGGCATGAAAATAAAGTTATTCATTTTAAGTTGCCTCATGCTTTTATTACATCAAAACCTAGCAGTTATCTAGCTCAAATAAAGGTTTGAATTCTAATCAGTAAAGTTAATATATCGTTGCTCTAACAATCACACTGCATTCTGGCATTACACCAAGCGACACTACTTGAAGTTTCATTCTGTCTTCAATTAATCAAAGTTTAATACCTGAATCTAAAACTGCAGTTAATTTTAGTTATCACTTTAAACCAGGTTCGTGATACAGATAGCAATTTGTTTCTTTCAATAAGAAATAATGAAAATTAACGAGAGGTTTTCAAAGAAAAAAGAACAAGTTCGATTAATCTATATTCATAAATATTGAAGGTATAGATTAACAGAGATTCCACAATTTAAAGTTGCTAAATGTTTGTAACTAAATAATTAAAATGGATCATGGATTCAACATTATAGTGTAGCAGAAGGCATGTCTGGGAATTCACTGTTAATTATCTTCCATTGTTAATTATCTTATCAGTCTGCTGTTCATTTTATACTTTCCCATTACAGTTCTCTGGAGCATGCAGTGCATTAGCCAATTTAGGTTCCATTAATCTTGTTCAAGCTTTCTATACAGGTAGTTCTCGACTTACAACTATTCCTTTGAGTGACCGTTCAAAGTTACAAAGGCACTGAAAAAAAGTGACTTATGACCGCTTTTTACCCTTATGATCATTGGACCATCCTCATGGGCACGTGATCAAAACATCGCCTCTGACCAACAAATTCAATGAGAAAGCCAGATTCACTTAACAACCGTGTTACTAACTTCACAACTGCAGTGATAGACTTAACAACTGTGGCAAGGAAGTTCACAAAATGGGGCAAAATTCACTTAAAAGCTGTCTTGTTCAGCAATGGAAATTTTGCACCCAGTTGTGGCCCTAAGTCAAGGACTACCTGTAATATACTCCTTGCTGGGGAAAAAAAAAACAAGTTCTAGCTTTATGACTCTTTCGTCCCTCTGCTGCGGCTCCCTGTCACCGGTCGGCTCCACAATTGATAGGGCTTTCGGTTAGGACAGGTAGAGGAAAAAGGATGCCGTGCTAAGAGGAGACTCTATGGTGGGGGAAACTGGACTTCCGGTTGGCTCCAGAATTGAACAGGGGGGTTTCCAGTTAGGACCTTGGTGGCTCTTTGAGTGTTTAAAGTTGCCGACCCCTGCTTTATGACTATCTTCTAAAGCAGAGGTCTCCAAACTTGGCAACTCTAAGACTTGTGAACTTCAACTCCCAGAATTCTCCAGCCTGGGAGTTGAAGTCTACAAGTCTTAAAGTTGCCAAGTTTGGGGATGCCTGTTCTAAAGCATTCAGAATAAAGTCAGTTACCAGAAAGACAGGAGATTTTTGATCCAGACTGAGAATCTCCTGTTATTTTCATCTCAGACTTTTTCACCTTATCCACATCTATTAGGAGGCTATTTTCTGCACCAATCGGTTTCGTACCTGGTATCTGGGAAGAGCTTTTTGATAATTCAGGCTCTTGTTTTTCCTTCCGGTTCTTTCTTTTGCATTTGCGATCTTCAGTTTTCCGTTTTCTTTTGCCTTCTTTCTGAACTTCAACTATGATTGTTTCAGAATTAACGGATTCACATTTATTTACTGGTTATAGGGAGAAAAAAGCAAGATGTCATATCTCTGTGCATTTCTAGCATCAATATTTAATATAACCAAAAATTAATTGGACTATAGTCTTAAATATTGTATAGTTCTGGGCATATAGTTCTCTTTCAGTTACATGTGCTCTCAAAATGAATCTATTCAGAATTAGGTGAATTCTCCAGGACAGACTAATATCAATTTTTCTGGAGAATATATTTCCCTCAATTAAAATTTTTTACTTCTCAGTAAATCCTTATATTTTGCATTATCTACACAATAACTTTACACACACTGCTAACCTTGTTCATTGTTTTCAGGAGGAGCTTGTTTTTTCAAAAGTAGATCAAAAAATAGTTTCACTGGAAACTGAGCATTGAAAGATTGAATCTCTTCCAACAAAACATCCCTCTGCATTTTGGAAAATACCAGTTGCCACCCAGATGGCTGCAAATAAAAGAAAACATATGTTGCTTGCATAGTGAACATTTCTGGTAATTAACAATTGTTTGATAAAGGATACAATATTCTCTATAAATTATGTAGTTAAAAATTTACTTTAATAACATTGTTCACATAAAATTTATTCACATGCATTATTCAATACCAATTCTAAGTCATGATTTCTGTGAATTTTATCATTCTTGATTAAATGTAATCCTTTGGAGAGGAATCACTAATATTTTCCTTTCTTCCTCCCTCCCTCCCCCCATATTTTCTTTTCATACCTTTGGTCTTATGCTGTTTTTGTCTTTTTATAATGTTCTTGCAACCTGTCCAACAGTCATTAAGAGTTAGACAATATATAAATTTAATTTTTGGTGCTGCTGCTGCTATTATATTATTGTTGGTATCCTTGGGATGGTGATATTGTTCAGTGGGTAGCATTCTTTCTTTCGAGAGTGGGACATTGGATTTCATTTTAATGTGTGCTGTTGTGTATACAGGTAAATGACTGTGATGACCCAGGGTGGGATACAAAACAAACACAGTCATAGAAAACAGGTGAAGCCCCTTTTATTCCTTCAGTTTGCTTCCAAGCTCCGAATATCTTTGACGGAAGACAAAAAAAACTCCCACACAGTTACACGAAGAAGGAAAAAAGCAACACAAACCAGGCAAGATAAGGGCTGGAGGATGTCCACAAATAACACACACTGGGAAGGACACCAAACTCAGAGAGGAACTATAAACTAGAGATATTTACATGATTTGTTTCCAGCGTTTACCAGTACGCAGGTCCAAACTCTTATTCAGTTGTCACACCTGCAGCCCATGAAGAGGATCAAGGCCCTCTCCTCCCGAGGAGACCACATCTCTCCCATATCCTCTCCTCCCTGTGTGCCCTAGGATGGATAGGGGATGGGCCTGGGTCCTCCTGACTGCTCAGCCAGCCTCTGCCCTTCCCCAGCCTCCTCTACAGCCTCTGGAGACACACTTCCACTCCCTGTCGGCTGTTCCTCCTCTCCCTCAGAGTCAGTCTCCACCAGGGGCATGACAATGACAATGAAGGTTAGTTTACCTTAATTTAATTTAATAATTATTATACCATTCCATATAATATTGTTCTTATGTCAGTAAAATCACATATATAATGCTTCCAAGTCGCCCAAACACTACTAAGACATTTCTAAAATGTAAAGTCCACAACAATTTATATTAAGAACCTAAAGACAGGGACTAACTTAGCTTATAATTCCTGACTTAAAGAAAAAGCAAATCAAAAGTCGTTAAACTTTCTTGCTGAATTCCTATGAAAAATGTTCTCACCACTGGGAGAAAATAAGCAGGAGCAATGAGGCAGCTGCACTAACATGTTATTTGCAAACAGTGAGAATTCTGGTTCTCTATTTTTTGTTAAGTGTCCCTACGTTTACTCAAAATAGTCATAAGAATGATTATAAAATACTAACCACCACAACTACAGAATCATTGTTATTAGGTTGTGTAGTTAAAACTGAGAGTTCACCCAGTGAAAGAGTAAGTTTTGCAACATCAGTTACTTCAGAATTCACATCCTTAAGTTTAGTTAAGAAGGAACAAGAAGGTGGTGCCAATCTCCACATCAAGCATCCTACAAAAGAATAAAAATTCAATTAACAACTTTTAGAAAGTTGTTCTTGAATAGAAATTATAGGAAAATCAAATGATGGGATAATATTCATTCAACTGCAATACACTTGTTGATAATTAACAAATGTCTCAGGAGAAAGCTAGACAAAGTACTGGAGAAAGCAATATTGTACAAAAAGACTCACTCTAATGAAATGTGAACTTAAGCACAAAATAAACACCTGACTATTAAGTTCTCTTAGCGAAAACTCATTGGTTGGCTTGTCCAATAACACAGATGCAACATTACTACCCACTTAGTAGTTTTTACTCCTATTACAACCTACTTTTATATTTCTAGTCTCTTCTTTGGCTATCTTTCCTTAATATCTGGTGTTTTATTCCTCCAAAGTACTAAGATTCTGATGTAAAATACTTCCATAAACACAAAATAACTACACCATCAAATAAGGCCATTTAATGTATTAAATGTGTCAATAAACCACCCTTAAGGTGAAAAAATTCAATCATTTAATATTTATTACAGAAATGTCAAAAGATCAGAACTCACTGTCGTCCTTCTGCTGAACATGGATCACTTTTTGAAAACAGGAATTAGCTGCAGAATATGCTTCCAACACCGCTGTTTTTTTTGCAATCTTTTTCTTTAAAGATTCTGGCAAACCACTCATTAAAAATTCACGTTTTGCTTTGAACTCTGTGTAATCTTGCGAGTTTTCAGACTCATCTTCACTAATGAAAATGACAACCAAAAATAACTTCAGTACACAGCAACTGGTTACAGCAATGCTTTTTGAAAAGACCTGAAGAAGCTTACTAAGAATATTCAATGAGATCAGTAAAACAGGTTTTTTGAAAACAAAAATGACCTCCCCCTGCAACGAATAACCAAAAGGGAGTTTCAAATGTTCCCTGTTTGTAAGGCAAACATGAAGCCAAGTAGACCATCGTTAGTCCTCGATTTATAATTGCTCCCTTAGCGACCACTCAAAGTGATAATGGTCTCCCCAAAGGATACTTATGATTGAAGTTGTGATGGGCCATCCGCCAGTCATGTGTTCACATTTCAGGTGCTTATCACTGCACCTGCATTTACAACTGTCTCCAGCATCCTATGGTCAGTCACTAGTCTGGAATGGTATAGGATCTCCTGTTTGAACAGAGGGTTTCTAGAAGACCTTCAAGATCCCTTCCAACTGTGTTATTCTGTTGTTATTCTGACCAGCCTGCTGTCTGACACCAGTTCTTTCTGAAATACTCTATTGGAGTATTTGGGCTTCGAGACCTGGGAGACTTTAATCACTATGCATTGGGTGCCGAATATGGATAAGCTCCAGGTTTCATAACTTCCATGGGATTGCCTCTGGTGTTCTAATTCAGAAGTTCCTAACCTCTGGTCTGCAGTCTGGTGCCTGGCCACGGCCCCTTGGAAACTGGGCCGCGTAAACGGCAGGCGAGTGTGTGAAGCTTGCCCAGTTCGCAGAGCCGGAAAGGTTGGGGACTGCTGTTCTAAATCTTAATACACTTTGGCAGTTGCATAGTAAAAAATATGTTCTTGGCGCATCCTAAAATAGATGGATCATTATTCAAAGATAGAGGACACTGCTGTCAGGCCGTAGTTACAGTCAGATTATTTTCTGAGCAATTTGCAGTTTGTTGATATACTTGTCTTCTGGGAAACCAATTCAGATAGAGACCATGGGCTTACAGAAAGCCCATTTAGGGCTTTCAGAGATGAATGGAGGTGGGCTATTTACTGTGCACCTTATTCAATTCTTTAATATGCAGAGTACAAAGATATTGAATAACATTGCCTGAATGGTATCTCAGTACTAGTTGCTTCCAAGGGACATCTTGGTTTAATATATCTGGTTTGACAAATACTAGCAAAATGCAATTTTCAGCTAAATTTAGAGATAGAGTAACTCCCACAGTGGACTGACCTGGATTTGACAAAAATAACTGCTTCATCTGTAGATTTTTTGTTTTTTTTCCTAATTGCCAGAGACATTTTCTCCTTCCCTTTAAAGAAAACATATTGCTAAATTAATATTAAATTATGCGTAGGCAACACTTTAGTCTTAATCTAGTAATAAAACAACATAATAAGAGAAATGAAGATCTCTTAATGAATCATTCATTTTTATGAATCTTTTCAGGCATTGTTACACAATCTTACCCAATGACAAGGGTTCCTCTAATTTTTCTCTTTTTAAATATTTTAAATGTTTAAAATTTTGGTGATTCATTACCACCTTTATATTTTCTTTTCATCACAATTTTTGACAACTTCTATGTTTAAAAGTGAGAAATATTAGTGATAAAGAAGTCATTTATTATGTATTAGCTTCCACTGGATCAGTCTAAATTGACAAAACATTGTTTATCAAAAGCTCTTTCCTACCCTTCGTGGTTGTTCCTATCCTAGCCAGCAAATGTATGGCTGTTATTTATACAATTATAAAGGGACAGGGGTTATGATCACAGATCTCACTTTGTTTGTCTCTATTGTAGCCACTGACTGAACGTATTGTAAATGAGTAACATTTATTACCATTTGATTTCTTAGTTGCCTTCACAAATTTGGTCTTTTTCCCCAATACATCATTTACACTTTGGAGTTTTTTGGGCTTTTCTATGTGGTCTGAAACAGTGCCTGAATCCAGAGCTTGGGAGTTCTGCATAAAAAAAAAATTAAAAATTAATATTACTACTCACAGACTGAAGGAATCTTTGATTGCCTGTTGGTGATGTATAGGTGCATACTTCATCATCTTGCTCCCTTGTTTCCACCTCCCCCAATAATTTGTCGAAATTTCCAAACCTTTAATGCATAAATTCTCTGGCAAATTAATATCCCTTTATATTTCATGCAATGTTAATAAGTCCATGGAGCTCAGGGCACATAATATCTCCATGGCCAATATAACGCTTCACAGTGCTTCACAGTCGTCTCTAAGTGGTTTATAGAGTCAACATATTGCCCCACAACAATCTGGATCCTCATTTTACCAACCTTGGAAGGATGGAAGGCTGAATCAACCTTGAGCCCCACCAGGATCAAACTCCTGGCAATGAAATGAATTAACCTGCAATACTGCGCCACCGTGGCATATATAAATAAATGTGGCAAATCATTATAACCATGATTTATCATGAACATAGCTGCATACATCCACCAACTCCTTCTTTCACTGGCTCAGTTTTATCATGTCCTCTTCAAGCAGTCTTAGGCATAAGTAATAGATGCTTTCCCCCTAACAAATATGCAATAAATGAAAGGGATGCTCTCAGGTTACAGGAATAAAGAAGACCCCTGCAGATGACACAGTAAGTCCAAAACAAATAATGGACAACTGGTTTGTAGCTACCACTTAGGGAAAGAAGCCGCTAAGAGCAAACATTCAAGAATAAGCTTAAGATTGAAACCTTTCTTACAGAACAAATATCTTCATATGTGCTCTTCCTTCGTTTCCTTTTTTACAATGTTATATTTAATGTTGAATGAAAAAGCTAAACAATCATAACACTGGTAACATTAATGTTTTAAATTGTAACTAATATTGATAGAATATTCAGTTTTTATTTCTTCTTCTCTATGTTCAATTTAAGTTATTTAAATAATAGAATATTAAGAATGTAAGAATACTGAATTGAAGTAATAAATTGTATAAAGATTTACATTAACACAATAATAAAGAAAAAAAAGAATATGGCATGTTGTGCTGTCCAAATCTACCCATTATAACTCAGAAAACACTTGGGTCGGTTGTAAAATTTCTATTGCATGTTTTCCTATAATTAAACTTGAAATGAATGTAACCCAAAATGTGTAAAACAAAGCAACTTTATTCAGTTATTTCAAACTCAACAGGAAACGTTTAAGTTAATTTCAACAGCAAAATTATAATTACATAAATCAGTGATCTCAATAGACTTACTTCTATTTTTTCTAAATGTTTCCTTTCAGCAAGAGCCTTTTGTCTAGAAGAGCGTCTTAAAGATACATGTAACGCTTCTTCCATGGTTCTTGATATTCGATTATGCTGTACAGCCTTTGCTTTCTCAACCAATTTCTTTGCTTTGAAAATATTTCTAGAAGTTGAATTCATCTACCACAAAAATGAAAAATAATTAACAACTGTGAGCAGAAATACATGCACCCTTTCCAAACCACGTTTTTGTTCCTATAAGATACCTCCGAATATTAATGGCACATATTAAATAGACCCCTGATATGGTGTAAAATAATTATACAGTTATAACAAATATGTACATTGCTCATATATACGCATACAAATTTCCAAGCATTCTAGTGAAGTTGCCAATATGTGCCAGTATACTCATTTGCAAAACCTCTTAAGTGCAGCTAGATCAGTAAATCCCTCAAATGCCAATAAAGAATTCTAATTCTAATTTGCTTTCATTACTTCTCTAAATATATTATTTGACCACAAGATAATGCAGGCAATTGAAAATTTAAGTTACATGATCATAAGAATGGCAACCCTAGCTTCAGGGTAAATATTTTCCATGAAGTGTGAAAATGGGCCTGTGCAAACCTTATATTTTTCATGGGCTTAAGAAGCTTAATTTCCATACATCATTCAAAGATCATTTTCACACTTTAAATTCAGCTATCTAACATTAAATTTTACAATGATGCCTCAAGGGTTACTTTCATTCAGATTTATCATACCTTTACATTCTGCTGCGCAAATCTGTCTGAGGTATTAATTCGGGTGAACTTCATCCTGTATAAACAAAACAAAAAACAAAACAACCCCCCCACCATAATGTTAAACTTTTTTTTTCAAAAAATGCAACTTTAGTATGTTTAGAAACACTGATAAGTTTCTATTTCCAGACAAAGTTATGTAACAATCATTACTTTTACTCTCAAAATATGTCAAAATAATATTACCTTATTGGGCTCTGTGAATCAAAGGGCTCAGTTATCACTTCAGCTGTATACAAGACATTTTTAAAAGATCGGTTTGTTTTAGGAGTAGAGGTCTGCAAAGGACAAGCATCTGGTGGATTTTCAGTGATAGTCTGTGAAACCATGGCTTTTTCCGGTGTACTCTGGCTTCTCTTTTGCCGACAATGTCTTCTCAACCCCTTACTTTTTTGAGAAAGTTCTCTTTCTTTCTCAGTTGGTGTTGTCCTATTAATTGGACCATGAGCATTATTGTTCTGGTTATCATTTATATTGAAATCCTTCTCTTTTGCTTCCACTACGCCCTTCTGCTTTTTGGATTTATTTCTTACTCTGGTGCTATCACATTTTTCGGTAATGTCATGGGCAGTGCCACCACCAGAAGCTATCAACGCATTATTTGCAGTTTGTTGGTTAGAGTCATCCTCACATTCTTCCCCTTCTAGTGTGTGGCCTGATGGTTTTTCTTCAACTTCTTTCTGCTTACTAGGTCCTCTTTTAGCTCCATTTTTTACTATATCTGCTCCTGGCTGTCTAAAAGCTTTCATAAATTGGTATCGTTCTTCTGCAGTGCATTTTGATTTCACAGTCTCTGAACCTGCACTTTCTAATACGGCCAGTTCTAACTCTTCTTCCGCAATCACCACATTTGACTTTCTTTTTTGAGTCACCTGTTCAATATACTCCCTTTCTGAGGAAGCTGGACACTTTTTTACTTTGGCTTTGCTTTTTTGATTTTCAAAAATAGAGGCAATTTTTTGGGACCGAAGAGATTTTGGAGGGACAGAATGAATTTGGGCGAGGACAGTCACTTTCTTAAGTGGCAAATCTTGACTATCTTGATCAACATCTGCTTTCTCAGAGGCAACACAATCATCAGGTGTCTTTTCTCTTGGAATCTGTTCGATGTGTTCTCCTTGACTTTTTAAGAAGTCTTCAAATGATACAGTAACAGTATTGTATGATGTCACCTGTGCGCTAGCCTCAGAATCCAGAGTAAGCAGTGCAGTTTTATTTTCTGATTCAGTGACAGATACAATTTGTTTATTAGTTTCTTTACGTGAATCCTTTGTCAGTGTCTCTGTGGTAGAATTTTCAAACAACTCCATTTCATTCTTAGGCTTCTTTCTTTTTAATTGTTTTGTATTGCTTTTTACTACAATTCCTTCTATTTTAGTTTTTCTTTCCTCATTCTCATAGCTAACTTTATTGATATAGCCTTCACTACAAACATTTACTGTCTCTTCTCCATTTGTGAGGCTAATCAATGCAATATCATTGAAACTCGCCTTACAGTTCTCTTCTTGTGGATTGGGTGTTTCTTTATCATTATCCTTATCTACCAAAGGCTCAAATGTTTTATCAGTTTTTAATTTATTATTTAAGTTATTCCGCTTTCCTCTCCACTTAAGTTTTGATGGAGGCTTTGAAGAATTTTCCAGTGATAGTGAGTTTGCTTTGCTTTCTTGCTCCAGTCGAGGTAAAGGAGCATTCTCATTTATAGGAGGTTTTTTGAAATAATCCATTATATTATTAGACTTTGGTGGTGACAATACGCTCTCAACATTTTTCCCCAATGGCGAAAAATAGTTGGTAATTGCTTTAATAGAAAGGTTGTCTTCCTTTCGTTTTGTACATGACTGTAAAGAAAAAGCATAGGAATAAGTACAATAAAATGCAAATGTCATATCTTATCCAGATGATATTCACTTGGGAATTATTTTTAAATATTTCCAGCATATTACTCAGAATGAATGGCATTATTTTAAGTGTTGTGCAGTGCTTCGGATTCACTACTAAAAAGATGTTTTAAAACATTTGGGGTCTGCAAGCATAACATCTTTCTGCAACTTAAAGCACACATTATTTATTTCAGACATGTCTTCTTGTTAACAGGCAACAAATTCAGGCTTTAATTCAGAGAACCTAAACCAACTTCCAGCTGAATTATTAGTGCCAGTGCACAAAAATCAAGAAAAAAAGATTCATCTTCTTATAAGATCCATCTCATCCTGGGTACCCTTTTTTTTTTAACTATTGCCATCTGGCAGACAGTACAGGACAATTAAAACAAGGACAAATAGGCTGAAAAACAACTTCTATCCCAGAGCAGTGACTATATTGAATTCTACTGTATAGTCATTGTGCAATATTAATGCAATATCAGGGGTTTTCAGTTCAATTGTATAAATGTGAAGGATGTGGTTTTTTATGTATAATGTACACTGAAGATGGCATTTAATTTTCTTGTACGAGGTGCAATGACAGTAAAGTAAATTAACTAACTAAAAAGCTGAACTGACATATAATATAGGTAATCCCTGACTTTTGTTTAGCCACCCATTCAAAGTTAGAACATCACCGAAAAAGGTAACTTACAACTGGTCCTCACATTGACAACTGTCACAGTATCCCCAGCCATGTGATCAAAATTTGGGTATTTGGCAATTGGCTATGTTTATACAGGTTGCAGCATTCCTGGCTCATGTGGTCATCATTTGTGACCTTCCCAGCTGGTATCCAATAAGCGAAGCCAGTGGGGAAAGCTAGATTTCCGTAACTACTATAGGGATTCATTCAACAACCACGGCAAAAAAGGTCATAAAATCGAGCATGAATCACTTAACAACTGCCTTGCTTAGCAATGGGAAACCTGATACCAATTGTCATTGTAAGTCGAGGACTACAATGTACTTATTTATCTTTTATATTACAGCAGATTATTTCCTAATTTCTTTTTCATGAGTCAAGCAGAACAAAGTAGCCATGCATGCCTATTTAAAGAAAAGTATGGATGTGAGCATGATCTGGCTGCTAGATCAATGGCATAGGTTGACTTAAACAAAATAATACCAATCAGACAGGCCAAGGATAAGAAAATGCCCTTAAATACAAGGTTCTACTGCTAGAATTATTACCAAGCATTGGATAAATCTGAACACAACTTCTATACTTTGTGAAGAAATCTTGACAACTGTAATTAGTTTAACTTTCTAGGGTATTTGTCTTGACACTAAAATCTTAAAAAGAGGGACTACAATCTTTGAATTCCACAGAGCCACCACCGATGGCCCTTCTTGAGTCCTCCTGGTTGGGAATTACAATATGCAGAAAGACCAGAAAGTCCAGTTGCCTCTTGAAAAAAGCACTTTTGGGACAACCATGACCTGGATGACTGGAGAATCTCCGCATAGACAGTAGGCAGAAAGAGTTCCTTGGAAAGCCAGCAAAACAAAAACAAAAAACCAGTAGAGTTTGACACCTCCTCTCTAATCTTGGACTTTGCAGTTCAAGGATTAGCTGCCAAGGATCCTCGGTTTTGGGAGGAATCGCAGAACCAAGTGTGCGTACGCTAAAGGAGACACATGAAATCAACAGGCTAATACAGGCAAAAAGAGAATTTCACTCCCGGCTTAAAATCCAGATTAATAGGCAGATGTTGCATGCACATATTAAGGGGGGAGGCAAGAAGGTGTCAAAAGATTAAAGCCGGTTACGGGCGCCTATACAAAGAGATCTCGGCATCCCAACCGCTTTCCCCTCCGCGCTCGGCGAGCAAAAGCAGGAAGATCGAAGAGTGTCCTCCTCTTCTTTCCCTTGCTCTGTCTGGCGTTTCTCTCCTTAGCGCTTACCTGAGCCGCCCCGTCAGTCGGCGAAGCAGTAGCGGCCGCGAACACCGCCATCTTCCTTGCAAGAAAGCCGCCCTCGTCCCCGCCATTCAGCGCGAAGAGGAACCGAATCAGAAATTCCCGCGCGACAAATACAATCGGGCAAACCAGAAAAAACCGCGCGAGAGGCGGGGAAGAGGGAGGGATTTGGAGCGCAGCGACGCTGCGAAGGAGAGGGGGGGGAGTGCGCTCCCGGGAAGCACGTGACCAGAGAGCGGGCCCAAGACCCGCTCGTTGCCGTAGTCGATGTCACGTGAACCTCTAAGCCAATTGGAGGAAGGCCCCTCGCGGCGGGTGTGGGGCGAAAGGCTTTGTCTTCAAGACGCAAAGTCGCCAAAGGCTGTTTTGACCTGAATTCGGCCCCTAGGAGGGCCGTCTAGTTCGTTATTTCACTAACAATATTGGAAGTGGGTGCATTGTACTGTACCTTGCACTGTGTTCTTCTGGGGTGTTGCTTTTAATTCATTGTTTTATTTCATTTAATTCATTGTTTTCACTTAGGATAAATTTCTAGAGAGAAAGCCATGTTTATATTATGTAGAAAACTAATATATAATCTTGTAAATGTGCCTGAAAAGCTTCCAGAGCCTTGGGTAGGACCCTCGGAGATTTGAAAGCTGCAGTGAAATTGTATTATTGCACTGAATTTAATACAGGCATGCATTAAAACCAGCGCAGTGTAACAGTGGAGACCCAGGTTCAAGTACACCTGCCACAGAAGGTGTGATTTAAAACCAAAATATGTCAAGTTATGTGGAAGAATCAGAGGATGTTCATACTGAATTTGTCATTTTTATCCACCTCTATAATCTTTCCCAAAGACCTGGGATAGGCAGATGTTGATGTTCGAGGATGCTAAAAGTATCGTTGCAGGATACAAACTGTTCTAAATAAAGCTGCCTTCTGCAAGACTGATGGTGAATTTGTTTATTATTATATACACGTCAAATCACATCTCCCTGTTTTTTAGCTGGTGTTGGCCTTCATACACAGCAAATTATTCCCATGAAATTAGGATTTAGTATCACTTTAGTAGATACGTAGATTCAACTTGTAGAGTCTTGTAATTGACAGATGGAAATTTTTTCAATGTGCAGATTTTCTAAGGGCTGTCCAAGACTTGTTAGTAGGGCAACCACTGTACTGACAACCACTGGAACTACCACAGGCATTTTATATCATAATCTTTCAACTTTGATTTTTAGATCAAGATTACAAACTTTGTAATCTTCTCCAGTTCAGCTATTTATTATTAGTTGGTTTCACAGTCAGCCAGATGTTTAGACTGGATTTGGCATTTTAATTCATCTGTCAAGCCCTTCCCAAGTACCTGGGATAGGCAGATGTTGATGTTTGACTGTATTAGAGGTATTGTCACAGGATGTAAGGCCCTTCCAAGTAAAACTGCCTTCTGTAATTGACTGCTAGTGATTTTGTCAATGCCAATGGTGTCTAGTGCTCCAGTTGTTTTGGGATTGCTCCCAAGTTACAGTAATTATTAGTAATATTGTTTTTGCTTTCTTTTGCCACAGTGTTCTATTTCTGCTTTATACTGTTATGGATTTCCCCCCCAGTACTTTGTCTCCTATTCTGCTGTTTCTAAATATTGCAATGTCTGCTATCATCAATAATTGTTAACTCTGGGGTATTATTTGGCAGGTGCTTGTCTGTTAGAATTCTGAAGTCCCAGAGCACTTTGGGAAGTGGTATTACTTGACGTTATTCCAATATACCATTGTTGCTACTATGTTATGGCATTGTTTGTAATCTGTGCCACCTTCTTGTAACATCCAACTTGTTGGTCCACTGTTTTTTCAGTGTTTTGCAGAGATGGCATTTGCTGGGTGTTGCTGTCTTCCCAACGCTGGATATATATGCATTTGTTTTTAAGGTATAGGGTTGGATGCTTCACAACTTATTCATATTTATGATGGTTGTAGTGTCCCAGGGTCATGTGATTATCTTTTGTGACCTTCTGGCAAGCAAAGTCAATGGGAAAGCCAGATTCACTTAACAACCGTTTTATTAACCTAAAAACTGCAGTGATTCACTTAACAATTTTGGCACGGAAGGTCATAAAATGGGGCAAAACTCACTTAACAACTATCTCACTTAACAATAGAAATGTTGGGCTCTGTTGTGATCATATGTCAAGGACTACCTCTGGGGATGTCAAATTTTCACCTTTCAATTTCCAAACATTAGGGGTGCTCAAACGTTTTTGACATACCTTGGGGATTGTAAATATATTTTGGTTACTTTAATGTAATTTAGGTGTCCTTGGTAAGTAACTATTTAAATGTAACTTTTAACATTTTTTGTTTCATCTGTACAATAGCATGTAACACAAGTATGGAACAGCATAGCTTAGATTATGACCTCACAGCACACAATTTATCATTTTGGAATCTCTTGGCTAACTGAAAGAGCTATTCATAGATTCGTATTTACACTAATTGCTTTACAGTAATTATTGAAAGGTAGTGATTTATATTGTCTCCAGCATCCTTCTCCATAGTACTATAACACTATTAGCTCTATAATGGGTTGGTGGATGGTACAAGTCCCGAGTGAGAAAGAGGAACTATCAAGTTAAATAACTGACTTATGAAATAGCTTCTCGGGATGACGACCGTATTCTTTTTAACACGTACCTGCCCATCTACATCTAATTTGGTTTTTTTTTTAAAGTCCTTTTTGGTGTAATTAACCACGTCGCTTCGGTTAAAATCAGTCAAGAAAACAGCTCCGGATTATAATCTTCATTCATTCTTCAGAGTTAGGCAATTGGAATCGGTGATAATTCCGAAAATAACAATATTAAAATAAGGGATTCGCATCACGAGTGGAAAACCTCGGAGACTCCGCCCCTCTTCCTGTCTCTTTGCACGATTCAAATGCCCGGATGTTCTTCGCTTCCGGTTGTGAAGCTGCTGCCAATAGTGGGCTTGGCTGAGCCAAGGGCCTGCCGCTCTCGCTGCCGACTGGCGGTGGGTTATCATCGGGAGGGAAATGGAGACGGAGGCGTTGTTGCAGGAAGCGCACGAGAGCATCGAGGCGGCGCGTACTTACCGCCGTGAGCTGCAGCAACGCCTCAAAGGGCTGCACCTGGCTCGCCAGCAGGTAACGATGCGGGGCGCGCCCGCCTGGAGAGCCTCGTCTTGCGGCGAAGGGTGTGTGGAGAGCGGATGTGTGGGGGAACCTGAGGAATGTACAGTACGCTCTTCATTGCAATGCCTTAGTCTCCTCTAAGGTGGAAATAGCGGGCTCCCTGTTTTTGCTGCGGCATCTTACTCTATCCGAGGGGCAGCTTTAGGCGTAGGTTGCCTTGCCCCCTCCGGTCTGCTCCTTTACGCGCAAGTTTGCAGGGAGAACTTTCCTTGAGAGCTTATCCTAAGTATTGCTTCTTTTCGCCGTGTACAGTAGTGGCTGCTTCCAGCCTGACCCAGGAAAGGAAATACAGTATAATTCCAGAAAGTTGGAGTGCCGTCTGTTATAATTTGAAGCATGCTTGTGGTCCAAAGGAGTGGGTTGGGAATGCAGAAGCGTTATCTCATACTAGATGAAGTATTGCTATGGTGCTGGCAAGAAATAATAGCACCAAAAGGAACTCTTAGCTCCAATTTTCGTGGCCTAGTCTCTAAAATGGCAATATACCCTCGTTTTTATTTGTGGGCTGAAATAAGAACTTGCAAGGACTGCAAGCCTTTTAGGTAAGTTTGTGGGAAGGAGTATTGCAAAATGAATGATGTGGAAGGATAATATTAAAATGAAGTAAAAAGCTCCAGTATTGTTCTCTCTAGCTAGTTTAGATTTGTGTTGTAATGACGAGGCAGTCGAGTTGTTTGATCATGAACAACTGAATCATGATGAGCTTTATTGGAGTCTAGTCTCGCATTTATACACATTTTTAGTTATCCTCCATCACTGGTTAACTTTGGTTACTGCTTAACTTTCGTTACTGTTTAGCACAGTAATCCATACAATTAATTATCTCTAGTTAAAGTATAACATATGTTTACTTCCTCTCTCTAATCCTCCTTTAGATTAGTGACTTTGTTTACCTGAGTTGTATTTGCTTGGAAACATTCTTTATCTGAGGTTTGCCATCCAAGATTGGAACATTCCTGCAGTTACAACTCTACACATTTGCTTTTATATTTTGAAATAAATTACTTATACAGATAGCCCTCAACTTAAAACCATTCATTTAATGACTGTTTAGTTACAACAGCACTGCAAAAAGTGACTTCTTATAGTTTTTCACACTTACTACAGTTACAGCATCTCCATGGTCATGTGATCCAAATTTGGACTCTTGGTAGCTGCCTCATATTTATTATGAGGGTTATATTGTCCTGGGGTCATATGATCACTTTTAACTCATATTACAAAATACTGTACTGTATAGTGTACTTCCACTTTATGTATAGGTACACAAATATCAGACAATATATTTTTAGAAAGTGCTTACATCAGTCGAGAGTTTCTCAGTCTCTCCGTTACTCACAAGTTTTCATCTCCTTCATATATTTATTTACAATTTGATTTTGATTCCTTTTGTTTGATGAAACATCTTAAGGTGTTTTTTCATGTGGTATTCAATCTACATTCATTCAGTCTTACCCGTACTTCTTGTTTTAGGGCAGACATGTTAAGAAAGCCATTCCCACTGCTTCCAATTTATTTTTATGTTTATCCTGATAAACAATTCTCCCTGCCACAAAACAGAACTTGGAGAAACATATAGAAGCCACTTTTGCTTCTTTGACCTTTATTCTGTAGAACAGATCGCATACATACCACTGCCTTTCTACCAAAATTTCCATGTTTCCATACACAAACCTGGACTGATTTTTGACTTTGTATGTTTTTGTATATTTTTGAGTGTATTTTTAACACTGTCTATAACTTGAAATAGTTCATTCTCTTTTCACAAACATCCTCAGTCTTCAGTATTAATGCTGAGATTCATATATTACAGATCTGACTCTGACCATGAATTTAGCATTTGCTGTAATCATTCAAGTTCTCAGTCAATAATAATATGGCGTAGTCACGTTCAGAGCTACATAC